TGAAGACTATTGTGAGAAAGCACAAAGGTTTTGTAACCAATCGACACACTGTAAGTAATTGAAGAAGGATTTTTATTTTGTGTGTGTTTATGTCTGTATGTTTTATGTTCGTCTAAAAATAAAAACTTTTAAAATAAAAAATAAATAAATTACGTTTGGTCTGGACATTTTCCCCCTACCTGGGCAATGCTGGGTTTATCGGCTAGTTAAATATAATTCTAATAGAATAGAATATCTGTAGCTCAGGGTTGAACTGTGGGGTCCTTTGTGCTGTCTGAGCTGGGTGATTTTCTTCCAAGAAAACAACCAAGGTCACCGAGCACCAATTATTCCATAAATATAATTCCTCCTGGTTAAAGGGAGGACACCCAAGTCTACTGTTATTCTACCAATACACACAACATTCCGTTTACTTAAAAATATCAATTCTGTCCCATTACCGGGCACTATAAAGTGGACAACTGCACGGTGGTTCCATAAGAAGCTTAACGGCCAGCAGAGCACAGGCTCATCCCTGCTGGTCATCAGGTGACGTCGGTGGCCCCATGCCAACTCCTTCATATTGGCTTCCTCCTCTCCAGTGCTGCCTCCATGCCAGCCCCGTGTGTAGACATATTCTGAGAAACGGACTCGGCGTTTTCCCTGCTCCAACAGTTCCAGCTCCAGAAAGTAACGGCTGCCTCGCAGGTAATCTTGACGCTTCTCCACATTTATGATGCGCTCTAACTGGAACCGCCTGGAAATGGGAGCACTTTAGTTTAGATTTTGGGGTCAGGGCTGGGGCCCACCAAGCACAGCTCCATTGCCCTGATGCTCTGCAAAGATCTTCCGTGTATTTTCTGCTTGATTTAGTTCAGTTTGGACTCCTAAAGATCCTATCCTTAAGACCTCCGTTATATTATCTTTTCTAAATATCTATTGTTGTAGGGAATATCATCATGCAGCAGGTAAAAATATGTTAAGCATGTTAAAATGGGGCATCTGCTATATTTGCTTTGGCATCCAGCATCACATGATTCGACTATTGTCAACTGACTATTAGACAATATTGATTAACACTGAATGATATTCTACCCTTATTCAACAAATCCATACAAACAAATTATTTGTGTCCTTTTGCTTAAATGGATTATAGAAACAAAAGGATAGGACAGTCATAACGCCTCGGCTGATTGCACAAACCTAAATCCTGAAAGAAGTGCAGCTGTTTACGTTAATCTCTTAGAACTATGATGGTGAACCTATGGCACGCTTGCCACAGGTGGCACGCAAAGGCCTCTCTGCAAGCACACGAGCCATTGCCCCATTTCAGCTTCACCACGCATGCGCATGCTTCTCCTGCTGGCAAGCTGGCTTTTGGGTCTCTGCCGCACATGCACGGGGTTGCATGTGCATGTGTGGGGGCACATACAGGGGGTAGCATGTCCATGTGCAAGGGAACACAGGGGAGTCACGTGCACATGTGTGGGGCACACATGAAGGCTTGCACATGTATGCATGGGGGTTGCACTTGCATTGCATTATAGGTGCGCACGTGCGCTTTTGACACCCAGCGATGAAAAAATTAGCCATCACTGTCTT